TTTTGGGGTTGCTAAAATGAAATAGTACCAAAAAATCATTTCAGTTTAACAATTAACATTTTAGATGCAACAGAATTCAATGTATTAATGTATTTAAACTGTGCTCTAAAAAGGAATGGAATGGAGTAAAATGTTTTAAGTATTTTTTTTTTGTTTTTTTCCAGTGTATAAAAATATCTTATTGTCTGTCAATTAGAGAGAATGGAATATGGATCATCTTATTTCTTTCCTTCAGACCTTCTCATTACTTCTGGTAATACCCCCTTGCATGCAATGGCAGTACTGATGTTAGCTCAAATGTCATGTGCTTCTTTTCTTTAATTATTATTATTGAAAAAATCAGAGATAAGCAACAAAATAGTTGTTCTGTAGCAATTACATAAATTAATTCTATAGTAATTTTTTAAAGAGCTTATTCAATGAAACTGTAAGGTCTTTCTCAAGGAACATTGAAAAAGATCAAGAAAGGATTTTTATGATAATTTGAAAAACAGGATAGACTGAATGGGCTAAACATAATTGATACTGAAGAATTTTTTATAATTATTAACATAAGTCTAGCTAGGCAAAACAACTCCACCTAAACCCTTCATTACCATATAAAAAGACCACTTAATTTTTTTTAGGAAAACAAAGATTCTACACCAATTATGTATTACATAATGTTAAAAAAATCTTATAAACAGTAAAAAGAAAAAATTGCAATTACTCATAAAAATTAATTAGATGTACCGTGACTTAAATCAATCATATAAATAATTTTAAAAAATTTTAAATATATTATTAAGAAATGCATTTACTGCTTTTAAATCACTTGGTTTGTTAATTAATAGACAGATTAAATTTTAAGGATAAATTAACTAACTTATGCTAATAGACATTGTTTTAAAATCACTAAGCTTTTAAAACCTGAAAGATCAATATGCTATGTTTTGCTGAATGTCAAAATGCCAATGTGCAAAAAATGAAAGTATTTTATTTTAGATATTGACAACACACTGCTTTTAAAAATTATACCATTATTAATTTCACATAAAATATAAAAATAAACAAAAATTTCAAAATTTTAGCTTCAAAGTGAAATTGATTGAGTGCAGTCATCTTTCCACAGTGTGATGAATGGAAATACAGTTTCTTCATTTTTTTAAATAACAAGAGTTATCCTGTATTTCAAATTATCATAATTTAAACTGATAATTATGAAATTTGCAGTATTATTGTAATAAATAAAAGTTGTTTTTAAAGCCGTATATTACATACTTCTTTGCAAATTTCACAACATTGAAAGTACTGCTACTACCTGAAAGATAAAATCCTTAACTCATCTTTCATACGGTTTTGCAGAAAGTATTACCACCTGGTGTGATAAAAAATCCCTTAGTTTACCTTTCAAATTAAAACTGTATGGCTTATAATATTTACGTGATTTAAGGACTCTTTACTAATTTTAATCTTATTTAATTTTTAGTAACATATTTAACTGGTATAACATATCTAACTGACAATCCGTATGAACATTTGCAGCATTATTGTCATCTTAATGTTTAACCCTTTCGTGGGCCGTGGGAAGATTACTTCCCACCTACATGATCCTGTGGGAAGCGCAAAACCCACTATAATATATTGGCTTTGGTATTATAACGTTGGGAACTCTAATTCCCACTTCAGTATTGTGCTGCCATCTGTGTTCAATCGATTGAAAACAGAATTACGACATTTGTTTTGAAAGTTCGAACGCGTTGTGTGAGATCTGTTCCACTGAGACACCTGTTTTGATTTGACATTTGCATTGGTATATTCTGCTAAAAATGTAAGTAAAACACTATTTTTATTATAATAACGTTCTCTTATTTTGTATATTTCAGAAAGAACTATCTAATATTAAATTATAAATAATGGATGGAAAGTGAAAATGCTATTGCATTGTGTATAAAAGCCACGTGGAATATGGTATGTTGGAAAAATTAGAATATTTGTTGAAAATACATTTGAAAATATCATTCAATCCTACTGAGAAAGAAAAGGATTATTTTGGCATGATTTTGACCAAGGAAATGTTACAGAATATTGTTGACGAAACTCATTCAAAGCAGCCTAAGAAAAGGAAGAGATTGGGTCATACCACAAATGACATTATCCTGAACTGGAAAGAAACCACATCAGAAAAATTGAAAGCATGGGTAGGTATGCATATACTTATGGTTAAACATCAATTGCCTGAACTGAAAAACTACTGCAGCACAGACCGTATTCTCAATGTTCAATCAGTAGCAAGAATAATAATCGCAAAGAGGTTCAAAAAAGTAACTGAAATTTTACATGTAAACGATAACAGCACCAAATCCATGTGGACAACTTTGGGCATGATAAACTTGATAAAATCAGACCAATCCTCTCACAGCTCAATGATTCCATACCTAAAGTCTACGAGCCTATCGTCAACATTATGAATAGATGAATGTATGATAGCTTTCAAAGTGGATTACTTCATTGAAGCAGTATATGCCAATAAAATGCCTATAAATAGAGGTTACAAGGTGTGGTGTTTAGCAGACTCTAAGACTGGATATATTCAAAAATTTGAAATTTATTGTGGAAAAGAAACTTCTGATAATAAGGGTAAAATATTGAGCTTAGGAGAAACAAACGAAACTAACGGAAGATGTGAAACAGACAGGTCATCTTATAGCCTATGATAACTATTTGACATCTTTTAGGCTCGCAAAAAGTCTACTTATAAGTGATCTGTTTTCTGTGGGGACTGTCAAGCCGCAAAGGGAGGATCTTCCACCACTGCTGAAGGCTAATAACAAACTACAAAGAGGGGAATCAGTGTTCCTAACTAAGGAAGGTGTTGCTGCAATAAAGTGGATGGACAAAAAGGCTGTTACATTGTTGACTACTGCACACAATTCAGCGATTATTACATCTGTAAATCGTACACAAAAGGATGGTACTAAAACAGAAATACCTTGCCCTAAAGCTGTTGCAGTATATAACGATATCATGGGAGGGGTTGATTGCTTCGATCAAAGAAAAGAAAGATACCAAATAGGAAGAAGATGGTTAGAATGGTGGCATCGTATTTTTGATTTTCTTATTGATCTTGGCATCATAAATAGTTTTATACTGTGGCAAGTAAACATGAGAAACAGAAGTTTAGACCAGCTAACATTCCGTTATAGCATTAGCTCGTCAACTAATAGATGGATATTCCTCGAAAAAGGAAAGGCCGTCCTGCTAGCTTCCAAGCAAAAAGGTGTGCAATTCCGGATGATATACGCTTAGCCAAAGTGGGAAATCATATGCCAAAGATGGTTTCCAACTATAGACGATGTAAGAAATGTAGCACAAAGGCCCAAGAAAAGAGGACCCACTATATGTGTGCAGTATGTGATGTATCCTTGTGCATTGCAACATGTTTCTCATCTTTTCACGGCAAATAATCGCCTTTAAATTGAACTTTCTCTATGACCATAAAAGGTCCCGTAGGAAGTATACTTCCCACCCCTAGAATTTAAATGTAAACAAAAAATTTGGAAAAAAAATATATATTTCCTTAAATGCTATTGTTTAGTTGATAATAAAACATAAAAAAATGGGAGAAATTCAAAAGAGAAATAAATGGCCCACGAAAGGGTTAAAGATGTTTTCTAATGTCATATATTACACAACTCATGCAGAACAGTTTCTTTTTCCCATTATCAATCTAATTGATATAAAAAGGTATGCATTTATATTTATCCAATTTGATAATTATGAAGACAAAAATTTTTAAATAATGGAACATCACAAAATTAACCAATTTTAAAAAATCCTCAAAAGTAGTAAATTAGATTTCAACAAAACCAGTTGAACAAACTTAATTTGAGATGTTTTCTGAACTATCCAATTATATAGAAGATAGTTTGGAAATCTAATGATGCAACAGCGGTAACTTTGCAATGATTATTTTAATTATTAAGCAGAAAGAATATGCAAAATATCTTGTTAAAAAATCAACATTAAATTTAACAGAAAAAAAGTATATCAATTCTGAAAAAAATATTTCTGGGTTCTTACAGACTCTTATTTAAGATTCATCATTCGAATTTTGTAGTTTTCCAAACCTTCACTATGTAACTATATACCGGTTTGCCATTCACATATAATTACTAAATCATAAAATATGAAAAATAATAACATAAAACTTATACTGGTTTGCCTTTCACATATAATTAATTACTAAATCACAAAATATAAAAATAATAGCCTAAAACTAAAAAATAAATAAATATTGATGAAACATCTGACTGTATGTAAAAATCCTTTAAATATAAACTGAAATGCCAGAAATAATAAATAAACATCACCTTTAATATAATATGTCATGCAAAGATACCACCCATTTTCTTAAACACACTTCATTCAATTTTTTCATTTTAACTATGATGTTTATAGAATGTCTTGTATGTTACAAATATAACACAGACTGGATAATTTAAGGAGTTAAAAAAGAGTACATACTGAGATCATTACACTCAAAAATGACTACATTCTTTTTCCCCTCACAAGCATAACATCAACTTCTTATAGAATAATATCAAACAAGTTTGATAAGTTTCATACACATCAATCAAGTTTGAAATATATTCAAAACATGTCAGTTTTTAACTGCTCTCTTTTTACACAGCATTACAGTGTTTATTATATAAGTTTTATGCTTAAAAAATATACTATAATTTTATAAAAGACACAGCCTATTAACTACTTCAACACACATTATGATAAATTTTAAAAACATTACACAAGTTGTTAAAATACAAATTCGCAACAGATATCAGCATAATGTGCTAATTTCTGTTGCTAATTAGTAACTATAACATTTGTTTTTCAGAATATGCAATTTTTACAACTACACAAGTTAATATAACATAGCACTTAACTATCACTAAGAAAAAACATAATCAAAATTTTAAATTGCACTTAATCATTGGTACACTTAAGAGTATTACACTTACTGGGTCATACAACTTGTATACAAATGGTGGAAACCAGGTATAATTTGCAAAGTCATACTTGTTATACTGAAAAGATATATTATTACATATTAATAATTCTTCAAATATGCAGGTTTGCTAAAACATATTTAAAAACCTTCTAACATTATAATACATTCCATATATAAAACACACTATGTCAATATGTTATAATTTTTTACAAGCAAACTAATATATGCCAATCCAAACAGTAACAAGAATGATTTTTTTTTGGGGGGGGGGTGCTATACAAAAAGAACCAGGAAAGGAAAATGAGGGTAGAGGCAAGTCTAGAGAGACTCAGGTACACTTTATGCTTGATATCTCTCAACTGAATTCACAAATTTATAGCACGCTGTAAGTTAGCAAAGTGCACAGAAATTTTGACTTTCATTACAAGTGAAAATCCACAAAAATCTCTAATAAATTAACATGAAAAAGGTATGAGTGAAGTTAAACAAATCTGAATCTGAAACACTGCAGCTGGTGAAGACAGCTTATTCTTTTATAAAATTGCAATAAGACAGCTCATGTATGCTTTTTATTTATGCCCTTTATTCAAAGTCCAAGTATCCAGGCGATACAAAGCTTTCGAAAATAAAATGGAAAAGCGGTATTGATGAAAAGTCTGCATAATATCCTGAACTTCAAGATCTGAGAACAAATTAAGGTATCCATTCAATAGTAGAAAAAAAAATGCTACCATAGAAAAAAATGTTACTATATGTATGTTAAATTTAAAAAAAGGGTTCTTCCCTCCCCCCAACCATTCTCATTACTTTTTGGATACATCATAAATACAGATAAATTAGTTCTAAGTACTTAAGTTAGAAAAACACAGAACTAAAAACCTTGTGTGACTGATGATGCAAACCATAAGTGCATTGAGATTCAGTATTTTTCTTCAGCAAATTCGGTGGAGGAATCCTAAATTTGTCTAAGCTGCTCAGCTTGCAACATTTTCCAGGGTCTCCCAAAAACAGCTCTGGTAATATACGCACTTTACCAATTATCATACTGAAATAAAATCATTATTGTCATATGAATTTTTTAAATAAAAAGATATAAAATATTTTAATACTGCACAATGACTGTAATTCTGAAATATAATTTTTCTTAAACATTTGTAACTGATAACCATGAAGAAATAAAAATTACCTACCAGCATAACTGTATCAATTGAGAGCTTCATAAAACTTTAAAAATTCCAATAAAAATTGAATAATGAATGCAAAATATTATCATATACAAGAAAACATGCTGGCCACATTTAAGAGATTTCAGTAACTATCCAATGGGGAGTCTTCAACTCACAGTATCTTCAGACATACCTTTTAAACTTATTTATATCCCTTACAAAGCTTGTAAATATAAACCAATTACTTCATGCCTCTAGAAAAAAAATTATCCATCCTCCCTTCTATCATTTAAATGAAAACTATGTTTTCATTTCATCATATACACATATCACCTATTTTTGATGAATTATTGTTCAATCTAGTTTAATTCACTGTGTGCATTGCTCTCCTATATAAGAATTGTTTTTACAATGCTTTTGCCCACTAGCCTACTATCTTGAGGTATTTTTTAATAGCTTATCTTTTCTGTAAGAATTATCGCGCATGATTGTTATGGAATGTGTTTATTATAGGAAACCATTACAGACAGTTAATGTAATACAGTCAAAAGTCGTTAATCCGGAGTCGTCGGGACTTCGGCGATTCCGGACTATAGATCATCAATTTAAATCTGATAAGATGGTACGCAGAAATTATAAAATTAAAAATATGAAACCATAATTTATGAAATAAAGAACAATTATGATCTAAAGGGTATCAAAATTTACAAAAAAAAAAAAAGCTTAATATTTATTTGTTTACTTTATTAAACATTTCTTTCAATGTAAATTGTTTAAGTTGCTTCGTTTTTTATGTGATAATACATTCTCTTTAATTCTATAAACAGACATAATTTCTTGTTCAGTTACAAAGTTCCGCTGTTCAAGTCCTATAATTGCTGTGTCGAGAATACCGACTAATTTGTCAATCGAAATTTTTTTGTTTTCAATAACCTCTGTCACTTTCTTCGCTTTTGGAAGCAAATTATAATGATGAGGAATTTGATTTAAATCATATAAAAGATACATCAAGATGAAATACTACATATAGTAAGGAATTATAAGCCAAATAAAATAAAAGCATCTGCCCTGAAGATAAGGATAGTGCTGACAGATCAACTTCCAATTCATTGGGCACCGCAGCGTTAAAGATAAACAAAGTTTAGATAAACAAACGTTAAAGTTTAGATAAACAAAGAATATGCCTTTACCCATTTTTTGCAGCAATTCCACTTTTTGTTTAATGGACTTATACTTTGCTTTGTATATCCTTTACATATTAGTAAATATATATCAGAAATTCTATTTGACATAATCGAAAGTTCAAGCTTACTTTTATAAAATTGCTCTAACAGTCTGCAAAAAATAATAAGCCGAATCCAATTCGAAGATTAAGGAACAACGCAATCTGCAACATTAACTGAATTAGATAATTTTAGCTTAGTTTATACCGTCCATTATACATTAAACACGCATTCGTAAACGTATTCTGCGCATGCGCACACGCAGACGCAGAAAGTTTGTAGCTTTGAGGTACGGATTATAGATCATTCCGCATTATGGGTGTCCGAATTAACGACTTTTGACTGTACCTCATTACTTGCAATGGAAACTATTATTAAAGGACAATAAGACTGATTTAAATCAAATATAACAGTTCAATGTGAAATTAAAAAATATATATATATATATCTCATGTGTCTTAAAAACTGTATCATGGAACAAAGGAAAATTTACTCCTGGACTCAAGGGATTAAAAATTAATTTAAAAAATATGTAAGGGTAGCTGCATATAAGAAATTAGAATAAGCTTTATTGCTATCCAAAATGATGCAAAAGCCAAAAATTTGATTGATGAATAGGCTTATACTGACAATTAAAGGATCTGAAGTTGCATAGCTTATGCATATTCATACACGTTTAAGATACCAGATCAATGGCTTGCATGTTTCAAAAGGGCTAATGTAAAAGTACAATCTGCATTGCATTCAGTAGAAACCTACAATAAACTTTAAAAGACGGTAAAGTTTGGAAAGGTTTCACTTAAAAAGATGGGTACCAAGAATGAATTTCCACCACCTTTTAAGCAGCCATTGCAAAGGAAAACTGCTACTGTTGTTAATTTTCAGATAAGAGACCTTTTTTAGGAATTTTTTCGCAATTTAGGTTTTCCCAGTTTAGGAAAAAGAAGCAGTAGAAAAAAATTGTATTTTTTTCTCTTTTCTACTGCCTATTTTCTCTAAACTGGGGAAACACAAACTTGCAATTTCGTAGCTCAAGTAATTGTCAGATGGAATACTAACTTCTGCAAACACTATATTATAATGAAAATAGGCCTTGGTAGCAAATACCTCTTAGGTATACTTAAAATCAAGATAGATTCTAATCAGTTTTTGTTTGTTTTTCCAACTGAACATAGTTTAGAATTACATGTATTGATTAACAATGTATATTTGAAAATTATGTTTGACCATTTGTTTGTTGCACACATCAGCAATTCACATTTTTTCCCCCTAGAAAAATTGTACAACAGCTTATATTTATATTTATTCAGCCCCTTTTTTCTTAGTATTTTTATTTAATTTTTTTAATAAAGAAATTTATTGATTTTTTATCCCTATTGTATTATAACTATTTCATCATTCACTTATATCACTGTTCATTGTTGCTTCTTGCATTTTTATGATTGCATTGCAATTTGCATGTTTGAGGCCACAATATTAAATGCAAAAATTACAATAAAAATGGAAGCTATAAAGAAAACACATTTTTGTTGAAACTGAAAAACTGTAAATGAAGGGTAATGTCATAAAATTAAGTGAACTTTATTTATTTATGTAAACCCAACCAACGGCTGAGCAGTAAAATCGATGAACACTGGCAGTTCGATTCGGTTCACGTTTCGGGAAACTAGCTGGCTGCATGTGGCCATTTGTGTAATGTGATTACCAACAAGTTTCTCTTAAAAAGTACTCCAGGAAGTCCCTTTTTCCTTGGGCAGATAGCCTTCTGTGCTTGGTCATAATCCAAACAATCCTCTTTTATTTATATATGCATATAAATATTGGCATTGGCATAGACATACAGGTATCTTGTCAAAATATAGATGCTATTATGCAATAACTTCTACGGGAATTTAGCTTATATTTTTGTTATGCACAGGAATGTGAGGAATACAGAACTCTTAAATGTTAATAAAATAGTATTTTTTGCTTTTATTTCACCACAGAGATGACAATTTCATTCTTAATTTAAAACAAGGGAGAGATACTGAAAAGGAATTCAGCCTCACAGTAAAATAAGAAATGAGATAAATTAGATGGTATACATAAAATTAGATAGGACAGATAAATCAGGTTGTATAATCATGCAAAATTATGCTAACGATGTTTGCTTACATGGAAAAATAACATCATTAAGGCCTTTCTATGTGAAACTGGAGCATATGTTTGTTTCATGCGGAAGAATAAAACAGAATTTGAAGCTCCATGTAGCTAGCTATTCTATCTAACATTCAGGAATAGAATTTTGAGAAGTACCAGTATATATATATATCAGCCTTAGTAATATGCCAGTAGGTGGTATTCAATCAACCAAAAATATGACCAGATGCTTATCACAACAGGTACAATTTTTTATAAGAAAGAAGCTGAAGCAAAAGGATATATATACAGGGTATCTGAAAAGTGCAGCGACAAACTTTTAGGGGAGATAGGGCACATCATATTGAGAATTGCATAGCAACCCACGACCAGAAACGTCAGGGATGAATGGTAGAGGTAGAAGATCAGAAAGAACACAACAGAGTGATTGATTCATTTGAAACATTTATTGGACATCATGAGTACAAATGGCATACAAAATTAAAACAAGTCTAATATTACAAAAAATGAGTCTGCGCCATCAGATGGCAGGTACGCCTGACGAAGACGGAATATTGATTGATGGACATGGTCAAATGCACTGGGAGTCTTGACCTAAATCCACATCAGACTCCATAGGATTGTGATACACAATACCTTAATATACAATAGCAAGAAGGCATCCCCACAGAAAGAAATCAAGCTCGATAAATCAGGTGAGAGTGGAGGCCAGGGAGCCATTCCCTCACGCCCAATGCATTGATGTGGGAATGATCTGCATAAATACCTACAATCAGCCAGTCCAAAATGAGCAGACACCCCATCATGTTGAAACCACATGATGCACCTCACATTTGCTGGAACATCTTCGAGTAAGCTAGGAAGAATCTATTCCTGAATAAATTCGCAGCAGTCATGCGGGATGCCCAAGACACAAGTATGGCCTCAGATGAACCTGCTCAAACATTTTCCAGGTTCCGCCAAGACCAGCTGCCATCAAACGGCAAAGACCACAAGCAGAGGAGAAAAGGAAAGTATTCAAGGGTGGCCGTACTGGTGAAAAAAGGAAGCTTCCAGAGGAAGGCACTGAAGGGCGAGCCCGTACAAGAAGGAGGATAAATCAAACTACTATCTGCAGTACCTTTAAAGACTGGGCCCAGAAAAGGATGTCCGAATATTACAAAGATAAGTAAAATTTTATGTTACTTTGCAAACTTAAGTTAATCTTTCATTCTTACTGCAAGTGGCAGATTTCAAGAAGTTTTACCTCATGCGAGGTCTACCTTTATCGCCAAAAGGCGAGAAATGAGTTGTTACCGATTTTGGTATTATGTTTTTCAATTACTCGCGCGTAAAACTAAAGTTGATGTATAATAGCGTTGTGTAAAGACTTAAATATTGTAAAAAGTTATTGTATAAATTTTATTTAAAACATTCTAGCAAGAAAGAAGTTTTAGTCTGAAAGACTTTTTGAAATGTAGTATTTCAATGTAGAAAGAATTGGCACTTGCTTTGAAAAGAATAGAAGTTATACTACTAATGTATGTTTTCAAATGTGTAAAATTAACGGCATGTTGATATGTTCTTATATACAATGTGAACTGTTATTTTAAATGTTAAGAAATACCGTGATATGGTAAAAGTGAATGTTAAATTTTTTTTTTTTATTTGTGTGACTGTAAAAAGTCTAGATCATGGGGAATATGTGTTAAAGGTTGAATGATGTAGTTAGGCTCTCTGACGCTACACTTCAGAGTTAGACACTTTCAGAATAGTACCTCAGGGTTTAGAGTTGAAATTAGGGTGTGTTAAGAGGTCTTGTTATGTTGAATTTTAACACGTTAGTGTTTTGATTGTAGGAGGAAGTGTGGAACACGTAGACAGACACATTCGTGTTTGGTGTTCTTTTACAACACACATGTCAGAGAGCACGGGGAGAGATAATTAAATAGTCATGAATGAAATAAGAATGTTAAGAGAAATATAATTATACATGTTACTTGCCATTTCATTGTGTAACATTTCATTAAACTAGTTTTCCTTCCAGATCTCTGGAAGGAACCAGATTTGAATAAGAAGCTCCTGTTTAGATGCAGTACAGATGAAAAAAAATTTTGTATCCTGGAGCTGCTATTGTAAAAACAAATTTCTTTCTTTTAAATTTCTAGTTTCTAGCGAAAATATTTGTAAAAGATTGGCCTCGCGTTAGATTCTAGAGCTAAAAGTTTTCAACAAGGTCGTTTTAGACCTCAGTTTCAAACTAATTAACTCTGGCGGGAAGTATGTAAGGATCTTAAGTTTTACTAACGTTTATTTTATTTTATTTTAAATCTTTACTATCACTTCTTATTTTCTACTTCCGGCCAGAATTATAAGCGTTAAGGTTTTTTATGCAAAGTTTGTCTGGCGAACGCCAAGTATTTAAGTTGTGGCTTTTTGCCAAGCGAGAGAGAGGAAGCAGTGAGTCGAAGCAGGCCGCTTACCTTAGAAGTTACGCAGTTGCTGTTTGCCTTCCAGGCCAGAGGTTTTAATCCTCTTGATAAATTTTAAAACGTATTGTAGTGTTCACAGTTCTCTGTACTACATACGCTTCCTGTTAATATAAGGCCAATCTTCCACGTTTATTATTCTAAAGTTAAATTAGAGTTTAGTTTTATTTTTATACTTTTACGTTTTGACCCCAAGTAGCGGGTCGGTGTATTCCGAAGTACGGAAGTCATTGTAAATAGAGAAAAAATAAAGGGTTTTGTATACCCTTCTTGTGTATCCTGTTTACTTCCCACAGTTTGAACATAGCTTTAGTAAGCTCTCTGTTCCGAGTCAGGTCTTGCATGTTCCGAAGGTTAGAAGGACATTGACTGATTCTACAGTCTGCAAAAATATAAGCCCTCCAATCGAGTAGGAAACGCATCGCACATTACGAATTAGATTTTACTTAGCTTATCCGTCGTTATACTAATCTCGCTAACGTATATCCATGCACACACGCAGACGCAGAAAGTTTGTAGCTTTGAGGTACGGATTATAGATCATTCCGGATTATGGGTGTCTGAATTAACGAATTTTGACTGTATCTTTTAATTTGGAAGTTAAACAACAAAAATCAGTTATATTTGCAATTTTTCACAGGACTTGTTTCGATGGTTTTACCGAACCATTATCCTCAGCTGCCAAAGAGCTCCATTTGCTCTGCATAAGTAAATGAACAGGGCATAAGTAAATGAAAGAACAAAATTAAAATATTAAATAATATAATCCTCACTCTGCACAGCAAACATTCCTTCATTTAGTTTAATTTTAAGAAAACTAAGAGACTTATAAAACATATCCAATGTTTTTAATAACGAATATTTTAACTTATATTTACCCATCGGATTGTCTCCTAGTTTCTATGACTTCAAACCTCTGTCTTCCTTCAGCTTTTATTCGTAAAACACTACCTCCATATGACTCTTCCTCTTCGCGAAAAGATCGTATTTCAGCAGTTGTGCCAATTGGATCCAATACATTGCTAAAAGCTCTACCCGAAAACCTATAATTATAAGGAGTACTTTGATGTATTTCATATTTCTATTATAATATGTTGGCTTTAGAATTTTACTCTTTCATTTATATCCATTATGTCATTTTTTTTAGGGGGGGAGTTATTTATCAGGACAGACATTCACAACCAACATCAAAAATAATTTATTCTATCTTTACAAATGCACGAGTAGTTAACATCTGTTGCATGGTTACATTCTTTACCTCTTGTTTTTATTTTAGGTCACAAAATTAAACACATAAATAAAAATTTATGCCCTAATCCCATTTGAAATAATTACCCATTTGAAATAATTAGGGAAATTTTGTTATTTCAAATGGGAAATTAAATAAAAAATTATGCCCTAATTATTTCAAATGGGAAATTAAAAAATTAAATTAGAAATCAAATTAGATATATCCAAAAATTTCATACAATATCACTTGGCATTTAAACATTTTTTCCCTTTTGTATTAGCAATACCTCTAAATGAGAGAATGCTTACAGAACTCAGCAAATAGCTACAACATAACTGCCATATTTTCAATTTCAAACAATGTAAAATCTTAACAAAAAGCAAGTACACTGATGTGCAAAAATTAAGCAGCATTCTACGAATGTAACGCTGTGCAGAAGCATTACACATAAACACAAATCATATCGTAAGATCTTTAAGATATGAAAATGTGGAACAAATGATCAAAAATCATCCAAACTTGAAATAAAAAATATTAAAAGGGACTTTATTGAAAAAGTAACTCTGAGCATAACTGAACAGAATACAGAAACATCTATATGACAGGCATCTTGCAACAAAAATCCAATCTTTAGAAGGGGCTATGATCACTTCTGACTCTAATACAAGAATGAAAATGTCTGTCCATGCTGAGAAGAATATTGTCAAGGAGCTGTTGAGACATCACTCCCCATTCCTCTTCTAGCACCAATTTCAGCTATGCGAGCATTGCTGGCAGCTGATCATGTGCTGCCAAATGTCTGATAAGAAGGTCCACAGGTGTTCTGTGGGATTTAGGTCTGGGGACCTTGCAGGTCAATCCATGCATTTAATATCTTTCAATCTCCAAGAGCTTTGCGACAGCTACTGTACAATGAGTTGTAGCATTGGCATCCATGAAGAGGAAGTCCAGACCCACAGCACCTCTAAACACACAAATATGAGACAAGAGAACCTTGGTACAATAGTAAGCACCAGAGGCCGGAATATCCTTCGAAAATGTGAAGGTCGGTACTCCAGCACCTCCAAAACAGTCACTTTTGATGATGTTGGAAGGGTGACTCCAGATGGTATATGTCCAGAATCTCTCATAAGACTAAAATGGCTCTCATCCATACACAGCACTCAATCCCACTCCTGCTATATTCAGTTCTTGTGCTATCAGCACTACAGAAACCACTGTCATCTATGAGCAGACGTTAATGGCACACAACATACTGGTTGTAATGCATATGAACCATTTTGTGCAGCCTCATTAAAATATGATATCAGACATTCAGTAGTCTGTTGCATGTGCCTTGCAATAGCTCCCACTGTCTCTTCTGACCAGTAAGACAATATATCAGTAAGCCATTGCTGCTGTTGCTCATAAACGACCTCTGCTGAACACTTGAACAGCTGTTGCTGCCTCTTGAAATTGTCTCTAGGCTCATGAAATCATGTTTTGAGTGATCCCAGATTCCTCTGCTACACATTTCCCACTTTAAGCTTCTTCCAACTGCCTAATGACCCAACCTCAAAAAGTCATCCAAATGGCATCTCCGGGATCGCTTATTAGCCATATCATATGGCAGCAGCATATAGTTGAAATTACTGTACACCATGCAGTAGCTTTCACCAAATTTCAAATTTTGGATGAGCATACATCATTCTTGCGTGACACGTCTTCTGACACTCCTTCTCCAAGTCATGCCACACATGTGCATGCACTACTGTGCCATATTCAGCATCACAACTGTGCCATACACAAGTCTATCTCCTGATTGGTTTTTCAGTCCATCCTACTGCCTTGTTCTGCTTTTATGCTAATTTCTCTGCTTAATTTTTGTACATCAGTGTGTAAAAACAAATTTTTTAAAGAAATATATTTTAGATATTCAATTTAAAAAACTTCAGAAAAATGCAATTTAAATTAATAAAAGGCATTAGATTACATATTATGTACATGTTACGGTGAAACACCGAAATCTGGAGAATGTCGACTTTCGCCGGTGAATGTTAACATTCGCATAGTCACTTGGTGTATGTCCGAAATATTTTCCAAATACTCTTATTTCTGACTTACATTGGTGAATGTCGACATTCACCATGTACTAATGGTGAATGTTGAACATATAAGAATATTATATTTCCTTCTCCGTAATTCATTCGCGAAAAACGCACTTGAGACTCAGAATAAAAACTTAAAACACACAGTACATTCAAAATGAGAAAGGAAAATAATAGAAGTTATAAACTTACCAAATTATGTGATTCAAATCTTATTTATTGCAACAACTTAAACTATTATGACACTTTGAATTGCATAAGATGCCCTTGCTTTTACAACTGCATTTATTTATGGAACACTTCCTTTTGAAATGGCAGCGTGTACATATACTCCTCTCTTTTCAACCTACACCAGAGCATATCTGTGATTGTCGACATACACCGGTGAGGGTCTGAATGTACAAGAATGTAAAGAAATATTCGATCTTTCACCGACGTATTTGGTGAATGTTGACATTCTCCGGTGAAAGTTGACATTCTCCAATTTTGGCCTTTCACGGTAACATATACACTATTATAGTATGATGCAATTATACTCTAAATACTATTTTATTTCAAAATATAATTATTTAAATTTTTATTTATACACTACCACTAAAAAATAAAATGCTGTTGTAAATAAAACTGTAAATATTGATATGAAATGGTTCGTACACATTTCTGCACAAGGAAATTAAGGACTTTTAAGGACCATTAATTAAAAAAATTAAGGACCTATGAGCAAATGGGAACTGAATAAATTCAATTAAATATATTATATCTGTGCCTGAATGTGAGTACGATACATTATTATTAAACATAACTTCATTAACATAATTATTAATATTTTGAGAATAAAATTAATTTTGTGAAACTTGTCAAGTAGCATAAAATATTTTGCACTCATAATAACTGGACATATCTGAAAGAAGATAAGTGACTAATGTCTCATTTTGTCACATACTTGCTCAGTCTAGAAGTTTAGTAAATAGCAAGTAGATTTTCATGTCAAGCAGCATAGGTTAAAATGAGCATTAAAATCATAATCAGCATGATTCATAACAAAAGACTGGCTGTTGTCACCGCTCCTGCTCGCCTATAGAGAGACCTGCTAATCAGAACAAACCTGAAAGGCCTGATGTAGGCACAGTTAGCAAGTTTTGAAAGTTAGCTGACCTCTGTCTGACGCTGTTAGTGTTGTAGCTTTGTGTAGAGTTCCAGACGTTGTAACTCAGTTAATATACTTTAAGGTTCTATTAAGCCACTAAAGCATTAGCAGTGATAAGTTGTTTTGCATTAGATGCAAAGGATAAGTTTCACATGAATTTTTATATTTTTGTGTTTTACTTTGTGACCACGGTAAAGGTTTAACACATAATTTACATAATAATAACTGTACATATCTTTGAAGAATAATTTTCTTTCTCTTTACATATTTAGTTTCTTTTTTCAACACGTTTCCTTTTCACTTTAAATTTTTGGGATTTAATTAAAGACTTCTGTTATTCTAAAAGACTAAATGCATTTAGAGTGTATGGAAAAAGCTGCTAATTTTATTTCTTTAGTAATACGAACATTCAGAAGAAATATGAAATATATAAAGTCTGGTCACAGAGCTGGTGTGGTATAATTTTTAGAATTTAGGGACACACTGAGCAACGAAATCTAGAAATGGCAAAACTTTTAGAATTTAAAGCAGGCATTGGAAGCAGAATTTAGAAAGGCACCAGGCAGCAGCAGAATTTAGGATAAACAGAGACTGCGTCAGGTGACAAAATGCCTAGTGCCAGCTCTGTGGATCATGCATTAAGACATATTAGATGAATTTTTTGAATTGTCAGCTTTCAATTTCTTTATTAATAAAAAAATTTATTTCTATAATGCCTGTCCATACGATAAGATTAGAAGTACTTTTGATATTTTCCATGCTTGTATCTAGTGAAAAGTAGAGAAAATAAAGGAAAGATAAAAATGTTAAAAAAGCGATTCTAGAATCAGAAGTAAAACATTCAACTATTATGTTTTCATTGTTCGTCCAGATGTTCTTCAAAATGTAAGAAACTGCGAGTTACTACCATGGAGACATTTTTCATTTTATCACATTTTTCTGGAATCTTTTAGAATCGTGGGTCTATAAATTTGCCTTAAAATCTTTCTAAACTTTCCAAGCTTCAATGTCTAAAATCCTAAAGAAAAATTACCTCTGCCAATTCTGTAACAGCAAAAATCCAGAAATGTTTTTTAAAAAAAAAATCGGAGGACAAAAGTGTGAAATTAATTTTATAGAGAAAACTGATGCATTTTCTGAGAATTCTGATCATTCTGAGAAATGGAAATGATCATGGGAAAAATTCTTACCATGAAAAAAATTAAAAAGACATTTTTAATTAATTACATAACTATTTTTGCTTTTGCTAAAAATGTTTTGTAAACTGTGCTAAATATCATTATTCCTTGCTTATTTTTCATATTCAAAAAATTGTATAATATGTGGCCAAAATGGAACTTTATAATATGACAGTGAAAAATAAAAATGCTTTATTTTAATGTTATTTCTTAAATATAATTCAAATATTTACCATTATTTTAATGAAATTTATCAATGTTAGAATGTTCTAAAAAAATCGTCAAAAAATTAACAGATCTTGGAATTAAAAATTTTCTATAGAAACCGATTTTAGAATCACCGAATTTAGAACCGTTTAATAAAAGAATTCACATCCCCAAAAGCGGAAAGTTGTTTGAG